AACCCATGGACATGAACTAAGATGGGGGAATGATGGTGGGAGGGAGGGTACAGGACAGAGGGGTATAAAGAAGAGGAAAAAATTGGGACAACTGTAATAGCATAATCAATAAAATATATTTTTAAAATGGAATGGAAGTTATGACAGGAAAAGGTACTGTGAATGAATTGACAAAATGCCAAATTTGAGTTCTTGGAAAACGTCTAGAAGTGTATGATGGTAAGGCTATGTTGATTTGAGGCTGATGATAGTAGTTGGTGATGATCAGTTGAATTGAAAGAGAGGGAAGAATGGTGTAGTTGAGGTTTAGTATATATCAAAGCAAGGATATTGAAGATATAAGGTTGTTAATAAGGCTTAGAGTAGAGAGAAAAATATATAAGCCAGAGTGTAAAATCACCTAAGAATATGAAAATGAATGGGGTGGATAAAAAAACAACAGAAGTATTTTTGAGAGAACAATCTGTCCACATTGGAGACTTTTCTGTCCTTAAGTTCTGTGTCCTTTAGTAAATAATAAAGGTGATAAAATTGATACTCTTTAAGGTATACTACTTCATGTTATTAGTGTGCTAGTATTCATATTACTTGTCAGTGCTATTTATATGTTATTGCAATATTACTGTACTTTTCAGTAGTGAAAATTTGGTCAGCTTATGTATTATGTGGTGTTTTGAAGGTTGTTTTGAATGATACTATGAGAAATGATGGTATTAGAGAAGCTAATATGAATCTAATTTGAACTCTTTATGAATCTAATTTGAAATATTTATGAATCTAATTTGAACTTGATTTCTTCATATTCAAAAAATTTTATTTATTTATTTATTCATTCATTCATTCATTTTTAGAGAGAGGGGAAGGAAGGGAGAAAGAGAGGGAGAGAAACATTGATATGAGAGAGAAATATTGATTGGTTGTCCTCAACTGGGAACCTGGCCCACAACCTGGGCAGTTGCCCTGACCAGGAATCGAACCAGAAACCTTTTGTTTTACAAGCTGACAATCTATTGAGCCATACCAACCAGGGCAATTTCCTCATATTTTGAAAGAATACTTTTCTGTTAAGTTTAAGCACTATAAGCTTATGTTTACACAGTGTGCTTAATTTATAAAGCATATTACATGGATTATCTCAATTATGAGTCTTAAATTTTTTTGTAAAGTTAATAGTATAAAGTATAGAATTATAATTACTCACTGTATGTGTTAATCTATTATCTATTAGGTAATAGATGCAATTCTATTTTATTGATTATGCTGTTACTGTTGTGATAAAATTCAGTAGTTTTTTTGAGTGCCTATGAGGTTCTTAAGCTTTAAACAACAGAATCTTTGCCCTAAAATGATTTGTGATATAATATGGTGGGAAGAAACACAATTAGGTAGTAAAGAATAATCTGCTTTTACATTAGAGTTAGTGATGTATTCACATCTATATCATATCCTGAATAAAGTAACTATATCTATTGAAAATGTTATGTAGATGTGATTCTTATACTCTTCTAACACCTTAGAATTATCCATATTTAATATTAAATTGCTTATGCTGATAGTAATCACAAAGGTGCTCAGAGAGAAAGGGTGAAATGATAGCTATTTAACTTTTTTTTCCAACCACAAATGTGCTTTCACTACTATGGAAAGTTGAGACAAGAATTCCAAATACGGAAATAATTACATGTTCATTTATAATTATTCTAAGAATTTTATTTTTACATATACAAAATATTTTGTGACAATCATTCAGCTTTCTTAAAAATATAAGAGAATACTTTTAGAAGTAAGTACTGTTTATATGCACAAATATTGAACTTTAAAGAACCTATTTAATCATAGCACTGAACTAAGTGAAGGGTAAAATTATTTTTTAAAAGAACTTTAAATTTTTTAAATTAAAGTTTATATTCATTATTATTTTGTATTAGTTTCAGATTTACAGCATAGTGGCTAGACAATCCTATACTTTACAAAGTGACCCCTCCATATTTCCCATATCCATTTGTCATTGTATACAGTTATTACAATATTCCTGACTATATTTCTTATGCTGTACTTTACATGCTGTAACTATTTTGTAACTACCAATTTGTATTTCTTTTTTGAAGTCTATTTTATTGATTATGCTGTTACGATTGTCCCAATTTTTTTCCATTGGCCCCCCTCTACCCAGTACCACCCTTCCCTCCAGCAATCCCCCACCTTAGTTCATGTCCATAGATTATGTGTGTAAGTTTTTTGTCTTCTCCCAAAGTTCTGTTGTTTCCTACACTATTCTTAACACCCCCCCCCCGTCTATTTTGTTCCTACCAATTATGCTTCTTGATATCTACACCATTTCCTCCTTTCTCCCCCACCAAGGAGGACATACAGAGGGCCCATAAACATATGAAAGGATGCTCAACATTAGTAGCCATCAAAGAGATGCAAATTAAAACCACAATGAGATACCACTTCACACTGGTCAGGATGCCCATCATAAACAAATCAATAAATGACAAGAGCTGGAGAGGATGTGGAGAAAAGGGAACCCTAGTGCACTGTTGGTGGGAATGCAGACTGGTGTAGCTTATGTGGAAAACAGTAAGGAATTTCCTCATAAAACTAAAAATTGAACTCCCTTTTGACCCAACGATTCCACTGATGGCTGTATTATTTACAATAGTCATGTGCTGGAAACAACCTAAATGCCCATCAGTAAATGAGTGGATCAAAAAACGGTGGTACATTTACCCAACAGAGTACTAGAAAGCAGAAAGAAAGATGGAATTCCTACCCTTCACAACAACATAGGTGGAATTGGAGAATATTTTATGTTTAATGTGTAATAAACCAGTTGGTAAAAGACAAATACCCTATGATCTCACCTATAAGTGGAACCTAATCAGCAAAACAAACAAATGAGCAAAACAAACCAGAGAGTTGGAAATAAAGAACAAAATGACAGTGACCAGAGTAGTGGGGGAGGGTGATAAGAGAAAGGGAAGGGGCAAGTCAAGGAACATGTATAAAAGACCCATGGTCATGGACACAAGGGTAGGGATTGACTGTAGGAGTGCAGGGTGTGGTGGGCAGGGCAGGGGAGAGTAATGGGGAAAATGTGGGACAACTGTCACTGAACAACATTTAAAAAAATTAAAAAGTTTGCTGAGGCTATTTGGGGTCTTTTTGGTTCCATATAAATTTTTGAAGTATTTGTTCTAAATCTGTGAAGTATGCTATTGGTATTTTAATAGGGATTGCATTGAATATGCTTCCATTTATTTGTATCTTTCTTAATATCTTTCTTCAGCGTTGTATAGTTTCTGAGTACAGGTCTTATACCTCCTTGGTTAGGTTAGGTTTATTCCTAGGTACTTTATTTTGTTTGCTGTAGTCAATAGGATTTTTTCCTTAGTTTCTTTTTCTTGTAGTTCATTATTGGTGTATAGAAATGCCATCAATTTCTGAATATTGACATTGTATACCACTACTTTTCTGAATTTACTTATTAGGTTGAGTAGTTTTTTGGTGGAGTCTATAGGGTTTTTTATGTACACTGTCATGTTGTCTGTGAATAATGATAGTTTTATTTTATCCTTTTCAATTGGGATACCTTTTATTTCTTTTTCTTGTCTAATTGCTGTGGCTAGAACTATCCAGTAAGATGTTGAATAAGAGTGGCACATTTACATAATGGAATACTATGCAGCAGAAAGAAGAGGAGGAGCTCCTACCTTTTGTGACATTTTAGATTGATCTGGAGAACATTATGCTAAGTGAAATAAGCCAGGTGGTGAAAGACAAATACCATATGATCTTATCTATAAGTGGAACCTTATCAGCAAAACAAACAAGCAAGCAAAATATAATCAGAAGCATTGAAATTAAGAACAAATTGACAAATGTAAATTTTTAATGAAAGTATTTTCATTAAAATAGTTTTTAGATCACTAAATGTCTGGCTGAGAAAGATATAGAATCTATTTTTTATTTTTACATATGTGGTCCTGTATTTTTTTGAAAAGTTAGAGCACATTTTATATTGAATTAAAGTACTCCCTTGCTTGTTTGTTGTGTTGATTAGTTTCCACTTATAGGTGAGATCATACAGTATTTGTTATTCACGGCCTCGCTTATTTCACTTAGCATAATGCTCTCCAGTTCCCACCTATACATCCATCTATTCATATTACTTTTTTTGATTTATTTTAAAATAAGTTGCAGATGTCAGTACACCTTACCTCTTAAAAGTTCAATATGCATATCATAAACTGAGAGTTCAATATTAGTTTATAATGATTTTTTATCTTTTTTTGAGATATAATTTCATACAGAGAAATCACAAATTTTATTGAACCATTGAATGAACTTTGACTAATGTATATACATTTGTGTAATCCAAACCCCTACCAAGATATAGCAGACTACCTTCACTCAATAGTTTCTTCAGACCTATTCCCATTCAGTTCTGCTCAGGTCCACCACTGATCTGATTTTTTTCATCATTTTTAGTTTTGCTTGTTCATAATTTAATACAAATGTAATTATACTATATGCACTCATTTGCATATTGCTTCTTTTACTTAGCATAATGTTTTTGAGAATTGTCTGTTTTGTTGCATCTGTCAGTAGTTTTTGATTGGTAATTTTTCATTGTATGCATATATCACTGTTTATTTTCTTCTTGGATATGTTGGCTGTTGTGTATAAAATTGTTAGAGCTATATGTATACAAATTATTATGTTGGACATATGGTCTTTATTTTCTTGGGTACATATACACATGAGTGGAATCTCTAGGTCATAGGTCGATTATTTATTTAGTTTTACAAGAAGCCGCAACACATTTTTCCAAAGTGGCTGTGTTATTTTAGACTCCTGCCAACATTTGGTAGTTGTTTTTTTTTCTTTTTAAGCAAATAAAAATTATTTTAGTCATTCTGGTGGTGGGATAGTGGTATTTTGTGATTTTAATTTTAACTTTCCTGATGACTATTTTACCATTTGCTCTCTTTCAGACAGTACGGCATGGTTTTCCTTATCAACCCACAGCATTAGCCTTTGATCCAGTTCAGAAAATCTTGGCGATTGGGACAAGAACAGGTGCTATAAGAATGTATCCTTAATTTTTGATTCATTATTTGCTATATTAATAGCAATTGCATTTTTAAATACTCAGGTGAGTGAATATATTAGTGACCAAATAAAGTTTATTGTTTCTTCAGATTCAAGTAACGACTGTGAAAACCCTCGTCAGATTTATTGGCGTATTTTTAATGTCTGTGAGATAAGTATTGCTTTCCTTTTCTTAATTCCTAATATTGGTAACCTGTGTATTCTCTTTTATCTTTTATCCTGATCAACGTGGCTAGAAGCTTATCAGCTGTATTGGTTTTCAGAAGAACCAACTTTTGGTGTCGTTGCTTTCCTTTACTATTCTGCCATATTCTGTTTTATTGATTTCACTTTGATCTTTTTTTATTTTTTTTTTGTATAACTTTGGGCTTAATTTTACCTTTTTCTGGTTTCTTCACGTAGAAACTGAGATAATTGATTTAACTTTCTTCTTTTCGAGGGGAAGGGAAGAGAGAGAAATTTGTTTTCATCCTGCTCCCACCAGCCAGGGCTTCTTCTTTTCTTTAATATGCTTGTAGTACTATAAATTTCTTCCCAAATTTTGCTTTAGTGTCATCCCGTTTTTTAAAATTAAACTTTTCATTTTGAGGTAGTTACAGATTTAATTATAGTTGTAAGAAGTAATACAGAGAAATTCTATGTACTCTTTACCCAATTTTCAACATCTTATAAAACTATAGTGTAGCATCACAAGGTTATTGATATTGATACACTCCAGGTACAGAACATTTCTGTCATCACAGTGATTCCTCATGTTGCCTTTTATAATTATACCCTGTCCCTCCATTTCTCCCACCCTCACACATGACTCCTGACAATCACTAATTTTTCCTTATTTTAATAATTTTACCATTTTTACAATGGAATCATACAACATGTAATAGTTGGGATTGGCTTTGTTTACCCAGCACAATTATCTGAAGATTCATTCAAATGTTGTATATATATATATATGAATATTTCATATTTTTATTGTCGAGTGATATTCCAGGGTATGGATATATGACAGTTTGTTTAACCATTCACTTCTTGAAGGACATTTGCTTTCCAGTTTCATGGCTATTATGATTAAAGTGGCTATGAGCATTTGTGTGCATGTTTTTGTGTGAATGTAAGTTTTCATTTCTTTGTCATAAATGCCCAGGAGGTCAGTTGGGGGTTATATGGATAACAGCGCATTCATTTTTATGAGGTGATACCAAACTATTTTCCAGAGTGGTTCCAACATTTTACATTCCCACCATCAATGTTTGAGTGAGCCTATATCCTTACATCATTTGCTACATTTTTATGTTATTATTTTTTTATTTTAGCCATTTTGATAATTTGTAGCAATATTTCATTATGTTATTCTAATATCGGGTTGGCCAAAATGTTCATTTGTTTTTTTTTTCATAAGATGGCTCTGGTAGTGCTTAGTTGTCTTTAATTTCATCCAAAACAATTTTGTTAGATTGTATTCTGACAACTGTCATATTGGCGTGAACTTAAACAAAAGTTATCAAAATTGGTGAATTTTTGTGTAACCATTTAAATTTTGAAGATGGAGGAAAATAAGCAACATTTTTGGCATATTGTGCTTTATTGTTTTAAGGAAGGTAAAAATGCAGCTGAAACACACAAAAAGGGTTTGTGCAGTATATGGAGAAGGTGCTGTGACTGATAGAACATGTCAAAAGTAGCTTGTGAAGTTTCATGCTGGAGATTTTTTTGCTATATGATGTGCCACAGTTGCGTAGACCAGTTGAAGTTGATAGCAATCAAATCAAGACATTAACTGAGAAAAATCAACATTCTACCATGCAGGAGATAGCTGACATGCTCAAAATATCCAAATCAATAAAGTTACTGGTGAAAATGAAAAAAATACATCTTTTATTTAATGGAAAAAGGCACATGAACTCTTTGAACAATCCAATATATAGGGTGGGACAAAAGTAAGTTTACAGTTGTGAGCAAGTGAAACACATTTTATTCTTGTATTATTATTTATTATTATCGTATTTTTTTATATGAACAACTGCAAACCTACTTTTGCCCCACCCTCTATTCTAGATATTAGTCCTTTGTCAGATATGTCGTTTGCAGTTATTTTTTTTCCAATCTTTAAATTGTCTTTTTACCCTTTTAACAGGTTCTTTCTGAGACCAATTTTTCCTATATAGATGTACTTTTGGTATCACCTCTTAAAGCTCTTTTGCTAACCGTGGATGTTCATCATTTAATTTTTTTCCTTAAAATTTTATGATTTTACATTTTGTATTTGAATACAGGTTTCATTTTGAGCTAACTTTTATTTGTATTGTGTTTGTCTAGTTTTGATATTGGGGTAATACTAGCCTCAGAAAGTGAATTGAGAAGTGTTACCTCCTCTTCTGTTTTATGTAAATGAAATTGGTGTTAATTCTTTAAGTGTTTGGTAGAATTCTATAGTTAAAGTACCTGGGCCTGGTGATTTTTTTTAGGAGAGATTTTATATTACAGAGTCAACTTATTTAATAGCTATAAGGCTATTTTGGTTTTCTGTCTTAACTTACTTGAATTTTGGTAGTTTGTAGTTATTCTTACTAGTGGTTTATAAATTTTATTGAATTTTTTTTTGAGGAGCCAGCATTTCTTTCATTGATTTTTCTCTATTTTCTTGTTTTCAGTATTTTTCTGGCTTACCTTTTTTTAAAAAGTGAGTTATAATCAACATACAGCATTGTATTAGTTTCAGGGTGGCTTTATTTTCTTACTTTGCTTGTCTCTGAGCTTATTTTGCTCTTTTTTTTCTAATTTCTTGAGGTAGGGACTTAGATTATTGATTTGATATCTTTTCTCTTTCCAAAGGTATGCACTTAGTTTTATGTTATTAATTCTCCTCTCAGCACTGCTTCAGTGGATACTACAAGTTTTAATATGTGTGTTTTCATTTCCATTCATTTACATGTAGGTTCAAAATTGTCTTCAGGAGTTCTTTTTTGAACCATGAATTTCGTAGAAGTGCTTTAATTGGTGTTTGGACATTTTCTTGTCTTTTGTTATTGATTTGATTTTATTGTGGTCTGAAAACACTCTGTATGATTTCAAAAAATTTTAAAATTTGTTAAGGTTTGTTTTGTGCCCTGGAATATGGTCTGTCTTGGCGAATACTCTGTGGACTCTGGAAAAACATCCATTCCTTTCATATTGAGTAGAATGTTCTATATTCTTTAACTAGATTGTTGGTTGCTTGTGTTGGTCAGTTCTATATCTTTGCTAATTTTCTGTCTGTTAATTCTATCAAATCCTGAGAGTGAAGTAAATTTGGTTCTCCAAATCCGTTTCTGTATGCAGTGATCCCTGACCTATGGCGGGAGTTACGTTCCAGAGACCCCCACAATAGGTGAAAATCTGCGAAGTAGTGGTGTTATATTTATTTTATTATTTATATATATTTTAAGGCTTTATAAACCCTTCCCACACTCCTATAAACCTTTCCCACTCTCTTATTAACCTTTCCCACACTCATAAACACTTCATATCCTCTTAAACACTTTCTACACTCTTAAACCTATGTAATTTTAACAACATATTAAAATTCTATATGGGTACTGACCAGCGAAGTATACTGCAAAATTCCATGATATAGTGAAAACTCTGCGATACAGAATTAGATATCTTTTTAAAAAAAAACCCACAATACAATGATGCCACAATAAGTGAACCATGATATAGGAACAACTGTATATTTATTATTGTTTTTAGCTCTATTAGTTTTTGCTTTCAGTTTTTTGGAGTTCTGTGGTTTGCTGTGAACACAAGTAGAATTGTTATGTCTTCATAGTGGGTTCATCCCTCTATTATTACGTAATGTCTTTATTTGTCTGTAGTACTTTTCTTTGCTCTGTGATCAACTTTATTTGATATTAATCTAGCCACTCCTGCTTTTAAAAAATTAATGTTTGCATGGTATATCTACTTTAATTGTTTTACATTAAACTTACTATGTCATTGTATATGAAGTAAGTTTATTATATTGTTGGATCATTTTTGGTTTTTTTAGGTATAATTGACATATAACATTATGTTTGTTTCAGGTATGCCACATAATGATTTGATATTTGTGGATACTGTGAAATGATCACCACAATAAGTCTAGTTAACAGGCATCACCACACATAGTTACAAAATATTTTTCTTGTGTCATCTACTATCTTAGCAACTTTCAAATATATAATGCAGCATTATTAACTATAGTTTGCATGCTGTGTATTACATCCCCAGGTCTTGTTTATCTTATAACTGGAAGTTTGTACCTTTTGATGACCTTTACTGATTTAGCCCACCTCTCAAACTTAATTCTGGAAACCACCCATCTGTACCCTATATCTTTCATTTTGGTATTTTTGCTTCTTTATTTGTTTTTTGTAGATTCAATGCTTGTGAGGCAATATAATATCTGTATTTCTCTGTCTGACATTTCATTCAGCATGATGCCTTCAGTGTTCATGTTGTCACAAGTGGCACCATATCTTTCTTTTTTTATGGCTGAGTAAGATTTCACTGTGTGTGTGTGTGTGTATAAATATATAAATAAATAAATAAATAAATAAATAAATAAATAAAACACATTTTCTGTATCCATTAGTTCATCAGTGGACAATTTAGTTGTTTTTATATCTTGGCTATTGTAAGTAATGCTGCAGTGGATATGAGGGTGCATGTTTCTCTTTGAGAGATTGGTTTCATTTTCCAGGATTCATACCCAGAAGTGGAATTGCTGGATCACATGGTAGCGCTCAATTTCATCTTTTGAGGATCCTCTATACTGTTTCCCACACTTGCTGTCCCAGTTTGCAATCCTACAAGCAATACGAGGGTTCCCTTTTCTCCATATTCTCAGCAACATTTGTTTTTTCTTGTTCTTTTCATGATAGCCATTATAACAGATGTGAGGTCTAGATTTGCATTTTTCTGTTGATCAATGATGTTGAGCTTCTTTTTATGTATTACTGG